ACTACGGCCTGGGCAGAAAGCCAGGGACCCACACGCAATCTAGCCCTGATCTTAGCGGTGGACAGACTATTCCCCACCGATGGCGCGGCTGCCCCCGACGCAGGGTGGAGGCACGGCTGACTGGGCTGAGGTCAGCACTGACTCCAGCGCCGCTTGATGACATCACCGGGGCGTACCAATGTTGGGTGGGGACCGCACTAGCTGGCGGGAGAAGACCGAACCAGTTGGAGCGGGGATGGAGAACAAAAGGAGGCAGCTGGTGATGTGGAAAAGGAGGAGAGTGCAAAGGCGGAGGGGAGAAAGTACTTCATTGGGGGGGGGGGTTTTGGTGTGTTTTTCATATGTACGTGTGTGTGTGTGAGTGTGTGTGTGCATGTGTGTGCACCTGGAAGTCGTGGCGACCTCTGGTGACTGACCCCTACTGGGGGCCTGGAGGATATTCAGAGAGGTGGCTGGATAAAGCCTGCCCCCGCCCTCCCGACTGCTGGTATTCCTTTGTGGTCTCCCATCCAAGTACCAGCCAGAATCGACCCTCCTTAGCTTCCGAGATCTGACTTGCCTGGGATATCCAGGTAAGGGCAGCAGATGTAGTGACGGCCACAGGCAGAGACAGCAGACAGCAGCTGCCTATTGTACTTATTTATGCTGTTCCCTTGTTAGCAAGGTCGTGGGAGGGAAGGCAGCATGGTGTAGCCCGATCTTATCGGATCTCAGTAGGTAAGAAGTGTCAGTACAAGATGGGAGACCACCAGGGAAGGCTCTGCAGAGGCAGGCCGTGGCAAACCCCCTCTGCTTCTCACTTGCCTTGAAAGCCCCTTGCTGAGGTCTCCATAAGGCTTGGATGGGAGACAACCAGGGAAGACTCTGCAGAAGGAGGCCGTGGCAAACCACCTCTGCTTCTCACTTGCCTTGAAAGCCTCTTGCTGGGGTCCTCCATAAGGCTTGGATGAGAGACCACCAGGGAAGGCTCTGCAGAGGCAGGCAATGGCTGCCATTAGCAAACATGCTCCCCTATGTAGGCCGCTGCCACTGCAGAGGGGAGAGATTTTTTTGCTTTGGGGGTTTTTGGGGCACTGGCACATTGGCAATGACAAGCCACCTCTGTTTCTCAACTGCCTTGAAAGTCCCTTGCTAGCATCGCCGTAAGGCCTGGATTAGAGACCACCAAGGAAAGACCTGTAGAGGCAGGCCATGGCAAACCACCTCTGCGTCTCACTTGCCTTGAAAGCCCCTCGCTGGGGTTGGCGTAAGTTGGTGGCGAACCGACGGTACTTACAAATGGATGTAAAGACAGGTAGCCCTGTTAAGTCTGTCTGTAGCAGCAGAAAAGAGCCAGAGTCCAGTAGCACCTTAAAGACTAAACAAATTTGTGGGAGTGACTCACAAAAGTGCCTGCCCGGCCACAAATGTTGTCAGTCTTTAAGGTGCCACTGGACTCTAGCTCTTTTCTGCTGCCACGTACCGCTAGCCGGGTGAGGTGCGAGGAATGCTTGCCCCCGAGCTCTGCAGCAGCCTGAGCCACGCAGCAAACGCCTCCCGGCGGCCGGTCTCCATACCTGGCAACCACCTGCTTGTGGACTTCTTTCCAGTTCTCAGGATCTTGGTCGCTCCCCATTGCGGGGTTCAGTTCCTGGAGAGAGACGCCGGCCACGTTGATGCCGCTCCAAACCGGCACTGTGAGAGAAGGCAGCAAGAATCCAGATCAGTCGCAGCATTGACCAGTGTTCCCTCTAAGGTGAGTTAGTGTGAGCGAGCTCACCATTTTTTAGCCTCCGGCTCACACATTGTTGTCTCAGCTCAGGAAGGATGTGGCTCCAGAGCAATGATTTTATGCAGCAGCAAAATGGCTCGCTCGCCACTTTCATGCCAGTGGCTCACAAAGTAGAATTTTTGCTCACAAGACTCCACAGCTTAGAGGGAACATTGGCCCTGACTGTAATTTGGGCCCTCTTTCCCATGTGAATCGGTAGCAAAAAAGGCTCTCGCTAGGAAGGAGGAACTGTGGCTCTGCAGTTCATTAATGTGGAGGCAGGGAGCTGTCTGTCCCCCCCGCCTGCTGTTCTCAAAGACCCCAAATGCTTTTCTCTTGAAAATGGTGTGGTTGGTGGGAGGGGCACAAGACTCCCTTCCTCCAGCGTGCCCTCTAAGCTGAGCCAGTGTGAGCTAGCTCATAGTTTTTTAGCTTCCGGCTCAAACATTTTCATCTTAGCTCAGGAAGGATGGCTCCAGAGCAAACGAATGTATGCAGCGGCTCACAACGTTAATGCCAACAGCTCACAAAGCAAAATAATTTTTGCTCACGAGACTCCACTGCTTAGAGAGAGCACCAGTGAGTAGAACGAGAATGCAGAAAAGCCCTTTGTTTAAGCTGTCTGTTTTAACCCAATATCCAGTTACTGGAGATCATGAAATTATGCCAGATATGATTGGAAAACACAGGCAGTAACTGTAGTCTTAAGAAAAAACTCTTAGAAACTTCTGAAGAGAAACTATTCACCCCTCTATCTGGAGTTTTTCTTTTTTTTTCTTTTCTTTTTTTTACAAACAACTCGTTTCCCCCAAAGGATAAACTCTGATATGTTGTGTGTACAGAAAACACAGACAGTAACTGTAGTCTTAAGAAAAAACTCTTAGAAACTTCTGAAGAGAAACTATTCACCCCTCTATCTGGAGTTTTTCTTTTTTTTTCTTTTCTTTTTTTTACAAACAACTCGTTTCCCCCAAAGGATAAACTCTGATAGTTTGTGTGTACAGAAAACACAGACAGTAACTGAAGTCTTACGAAAAAACTCTTAGAAACTTCTGAAGAGAAACTATTCCCCCCTCTATCTGGAGTTTTTCTTTTTTTTTCTTTTCTTTTTTTTACAAACAACTCGTTTCCCCCAAAGGATAAACTCTGATAGGCCCGAGATGCACTGAATTTACTTTAAAATTTTACTTAAACAAAAATTTACTTAGAACAAAAATTAGGTCAAGGCTCGCTGGGGAACCGGCGTTCCCGCCTCTACCTTCAAGAAGCAGAAAAACTAGTTTCTCTGACTAAAGAACAAGAGCTTTCTTGATATCCTACAGCAATCGTGGTTGGAGAAATCTTCTCATTCTGGCTATATAAAAAAAAAGCTAAGGAATGCACGGAATGTTAACTCCAAGGTGATAAGACGTGCAGGTGTGCTGCAGGCGGAGGGGACTTGAAAGCCGTTTGTTTGACTTTGGGCCCTTTAGGCCTGTGGCTCTCCTTAGCTGCTTTTTCGTGAGCTTAATTCCCGAGGCCAAAGGGAGAGCCAGCCAGCCGTCCCTTCAGTCAGGTCCAGATCCAGTTGAGAGCTCCTCGCGCCTCCCACCCACTAAATGCCATCTGCAAGGAAGGCCAGAGAAAAAAAGGACCCTTATACATTTTTAACTGTCTTTCTAATAAATATAGATTATTTTTGTATATAATACGTACACACTAGGTTTTTAATACTGCCCCTTTATCAGGCTTCTTTCTTAGCCTTGTGGTTCTTGATGTTCCAGGCTTTGGGTCAAGTTTTGTTTTCCCCTCCCGGGGTCTTACTGAAGAAAAGGTAGCAGCAGGCCAAGCATCTTTTCACGTCTGAAAGCAGACCTCTCCGAGAACTGCTTCCCCCCCCCAATACCTCCTATTCAGGTAAAGGTAAAGATGTTAATTTTCCAGAAATTTTGAAGCTCGGAAAACCCCCCCGGTTTTTTCCGGGGAAAAAAACGGAAATTTTTGGGAAAATTGAAAAAAATGCTACATTAGCATTTCTTTTGTCTTTTCTAGATTGAAAGTCATTCTGTTACTTTAGGAACATAAAATATGACTATGGACATTTTTACATGGCATGAAATTATCACAACTAGCATATTAAAAATATAGTGTATCAAATATTTGAACACCTTGTCTTAAAATATTTTATTCATCATGTTAAAATAAAACGTTCCATAATCATTATTTTTCTTTTTTCAATTTTTCCAATTTTTCGGAAAAAAAACAAAAAGGTTTCAGGAAAAAAACCGTTTTTCCCCCTGGGCCTTCACATCTCTAGGTAAAGGTAAAGGTTTCCCTTGCTCGAAAGCCAGTCGAGTCCAACTCTAGGGTTGCGGTGCTCATCTCCGTTTCAAAGCCGAAGAGCCGGCGCTGTCCGAAGACGTTTCCGTGGTCATGTGGCCGGCATGACTAAACACCAAGGCGCACGGAACGCTGTTACCTTCCCACCGAAGTGGTACCTATTTATCTACTTGCAATTTCTTGCTTTCGAACTGCTAGGTTGGCAGGAGCTGGAACTAGAGACGGGAGCTCATCATGCAGCACCCGGGTCTCAAACTGCTGAACTACCGACCTTCCACAGCCTGCAGTTCAGCATCTTAACCACTTGAGCCACCGCAGCTCCTTACCTCCTATTTAGATCTGCTTTAAAATGCTATAGCAGCCTGAATAGTCCAGGCTAGCCTGTCGGATCTCAGAAGCTAAGCAGGCTCAGCCCTGGTTAGTGCCGGGATGGGAGACCACCAAGGAAGTCCAGGGTTGCTACGCAGAGGCAGGCAATGGCAAACCACCTCTGCTCATCTCTTTTCTTTGAAAACCCCATGAGGGGTCGTCTTAAGTTGGTTGTTGCTTGACATCACTTAATTATTTCAGAATGCTGTAATCTTGGGAGTCAACTTTTTTGGCTGTCGAGGATGGTAGAAGAATCAGAGGTAAACCATTTGTTTTCTTAGAAATTCGATGTCGGAGCCATTGTTCTGGCCTCGGGTTTGGGTGCACCCATGGGTGTGTGTACAGAAGACAATGCTGACAGGGTGCTACTTTGGGAAGGGTCATTGGCTCAGTTTGGTGTAGTGGTTCAGAGCATCGACTCTTATCTGGGAGAACCGGGTTTGATTCCCCAGTTCTCCATATGCAGCTGCTGGTGTGACCTTGGGTCAGTTACAAGTTCTCTCCGAGCTGTTCTCTCAAGGGCAGTTCTCAAGAGAGCTCTCTCGGCCTCACTTACCTCACAGGGTGTCTGTTGTGGGGAGGGGGAAGGGATTGTAAGCTGCTCTGAGACTCCTTCAGGTAGTGACGGGTGGGGTATAAATCCAATCTTTTCTTCTTCTTAACAGTACAGCACAAGAACAGGACACCCCCACCCCAAACTAGGGTTCAATCCCTGGCATCTCCACTCCAAGGATCTCTAGTAACAAGACTGGGAAGAACCGCGGCTTTAAAGTGCACAAAACTGTTGTCAGTGGAAGAAGACATCAGCTGGCTAACCGGATCAATTTACTGCCTGCATTTATTTTTAATTTATTTATTTCAATTTATATCCCGCCTTATTTGTTTGAATTATTTATGCCCACCCCACTTTTTCCCCCAATAGGGACCCAAAGTCATTCTTCTCTCCTCCTGTTTTATCTTCACAACAGAGAGCCCGCGTGGTGTAGTGGTTAAGAGAGGTGTTCTCTGATCTGGAGAACCGGGTTCAATTCCCCACTCCTCCACGTGAAGCCGCTGGGTGACCTTGGGACAGGCACAGTTCTCTCAGAGCTCTCTCAGCCCCCAAAACGAGCCTAGCTCACTACGTAGTGGTGCATAATGCAAAGAGAGCTAGAACTTCGGGCTGCCAGACAATCTTAGGATCTCCTGGCTATACAACACCCACTGCTATACGATAATTATTAATTATTCACAACAACCCTATGAGGTAGGTTAAGCTGAGAGTGTGACTGGCCCAAGATCACCCAGTGAGCTTTCATGGCATGAGCAAGGATTCAAACCTGGATCTTCCAGATCCTACTCTGACACTGTGACACTGTCTGAAGAAGTGTGCATGCACATGAAAGCTTATACCCAGAATTAAACTTTGTTGGTCTTAAAGGCGCCACTGGACTCAAATGTTACTCTTAACCACTACGCCACACTGGCTCTCTGCATCAATCACCACACTGCATAAATCAGGAAGGTTCTGGTGTTCATAGAATCATAGAATAGCATAATAGAATCAAGAAGATGTGGCAGGTAACAGCAGTACTCACCGCTTGAGTCCCCGTGTTCTCCTAAGATCCAGCCGTGGCAGCTGGAGGGGTGGACACCCAGCTTCTCCGCCATCAGGTAGCGAAACCGGGCCGTGTCGAGGTTGCAACCGCTGCCGATGACGCGATGCTTCGGCAGGCCACTCAGCTTCCACGTGACGTAGGTCAGGATGTCCACTGGGGAGTGGAAGACAGACAGACTGAGGGGGGGGGCAGCTTTGTGCTACTTGTGCTATGTCTACGCGCTCAGGACCAGGGACTAAGCAGGGTAGTTCATTATGGCTTCTGTGCAGGCAGACTACCATGTGAAGGGTCTCCGCAACTCTGAGCCATAATCCTGGTGGGGTTCATGAAGAGCCTCTATGCCAGGGGTCCCCCACTCTTTTTGAGCCTGTGGGCACCTTTGGAATTCTGACGCAGTGTGGTGGGCTCAGACACAAAATGGCTGCCGCAGGAGGTGGAGCCCGCAACAAAATGGCTGCCACAGGGGGTGGAGCCCGCCACAAAATGGCTGCCACAGGAGGCGGAGCCAGCCACAAAATGCTCCCACAGTTTACCTTCAATCAGAAAGTGAAGACAGTTTTACTGCGATATGTTGCCAAAGCAACATTTTAAGAAATCTGCATAGTTGATCGTACCTCCAGTGGCCCATCAGTAGCCTTACTGGGCAAAAAGCCCCATCTGCTTTCTAAAAACACTCAGTGGGCAACCAGAAAGGTATTGGTGGGCGTCACGGCACTCACGCACACCACACTGGGTATTCCTGCTCTATGCAATGGCAGCTATCAATGCCATGAGCTGCTTCAAATGTCACCAGCATGAAACGTCACTGTGGAAATTATTATTATTTTTATTGGATTTTTGACCACCCTCCCTGGAAACCGGGCTCAGGGCACTTTATAGTGATATGGAGCAGAGGTCCATCAGTGGCTATTAGCCACAAGGTATAGATAGGGGCTCTGGGGCAAGTGATGCTCCATCAGTGGCTATTAGCCACAAGGTATAGATAGGGGCTCTGGGGCAAGTGATGCTCTGTCTTCTTGGTGCTTGGGGGGGGGTGTCAACAGTGGGAGGGCTTCTAGTGTCCTGGCCCCACTGGTGGACCTCCTGATGGCACTGGTATTTCTGGTCACTGTGTGACACAGAGTGTTGGACTGGATGGGCCTTTGGCCTGATCCAACATTGGCGTATCTCATGTTCTTATGATACAAACCAGCAAAGGAACACTTAAAACAAAGAGAGCAAACAACAGAACACTAGATTCTAGAAAAAACAAGATGGCGTCCAAGTCCCGAGGGTGTTGCTATCTCTTGGGGGGAACCGTTGCTGCCCTCAGCCAAATGCCTGGCGGAACATCTCTGCCCTACAAGCCCTGCGGAACTGTAGTACGTAAGTCCCACAGGGCCCAGATGGAACTTGGCAGAGAGTTCCACCAGGTTGGGGCCAGGGCAGAAAAGGCCCTTCTTGAGGACAGCCGGATATCTCTGGGCTGGGGACCCCCAGCCTGGTATCACTTTGGTATCTTCCTCCCAGCAACTCTTAACATCTACTCAGGTTCTTTTGCCACAATATCTTCGAAGCGCCCCCTCGCCGTATAAAACTAGGGGAATCAAGCGTCCAAGCCCGTTCCCATCCCCAGGGTTGTTTCCACCCACTTGCTTTTAAATTGCATGAAAAGTCTCACAGCCAAGTCACCAAGAGCACGGAGCGCTTCCTCATAGTGTTTTGTTTACAGCCAAGAGCGACGCATTATGCCTGCAGCAGCGTTCCCTCTAAGCTGAGTTAGTGTGAGCTAGCTCATAGTTTTTTAGCCTCCGGCTCACACATTTTTGTCTTAGCTCAGGAAGGAGGGCTCCAGAGCAAACTAATTTATGCAGGAGCCAAGTCACTCGCTCACCACTTCAATGCCAGCAGCTCACAAAGTAGAGTTTTTGCTCACAAGACTCCACAGCTTAGAGGGAACATTGGCCTGCAGGTGCTCCAATGCTGTCCATGCACAACGCCAGCGAGAAGTGTCATGGAAGGTTTGAAAGAGTGCGATTCACAATAGCCGTGCACGCAAACCTAGGCCCGTTTGTACGGGCGAGGGGGATCCCGAGTGGCCGACAGCTGTACTTACCTGGGTTGGACACGACCAGGATGATGCAGTTCGGACTGTACTTGACCACCTGGGGGATGATAAACTTGAAGACGTTCACGTTCCTCTGGACCAGGTCGAGACGGCTCTCCCCTTCCTGCTGGCGGACTCCGGCGGAAACCACGACAACCTTGGAATTGGCCGTGACGGCATAGTCTGCATCCGGAAGGCATCAGGCTGTTAGGGACCTTCGGCATGCAAAGCAGAGACTCCACCCCTGAGCCACGGCCCCTCCCACAACCACCCAGACCGTCACGAGGTGTATCTTCGGCTCTGACTGGCAGTAGCTCTCCAGGGTCTCGGGCAGAGATCTTTATTGCCGTCCATTACCTGCTCCAGAACGGAACCTGGCATCTTCAGTATGCAAAGCAGAGACTCCACCACTGGGCCCCGGCATCTCCCTCAGCCACCTTGACCGTCCTAATGGCTCCACTGCATGGAAGTCTTACCTAGCAAACTGTACCCCCCCGTCTTCCAAGTTACAGGTTGAGATCTGCACCTCCTTAACAGCTCAGGGGAAATGACATCCACTCCCCCAACCATTTTATTTTCATCTCTCTGCCTTGCAACCCCATTTGCACCGGAGATATTGTTTCTTAAATACTGGAAGGACAGCACAGTCCCAAATATTAGAAAAGAGCTGATCCCATACCCACCAAAACATCTATAGCTGCTAACTGGAAATGCCCAAATACTGTTACACTTCACATACGGCAACATAAGGTATAGGGATGTGCATTCGGTTTGTCTGAACCGAATGCACCCCCGAAAATGGCCGATTTGGGCCTATTTTGGGCTGCTGCAGGCCGATTCAGATTCTCCAATCTGAATCAGCTTGCTGCCAAATTGCCACCGAATTTCGGCGGCAATTCGGCCCCATTATATCCTATAGGCCATTGTAGTCAATGGCAAAAATATAGGGTATATTCTGGGGGCTGGAGGGGAGGGGGTTTGAGGGAGAGGCTCCAAACTCACAGGGTAGCTGCTGGAGCCTCCCCCCAAGATACCCACCAAGCTTCAAGAACATTGGACCAGGGGGTCCAATTCTACAGGCCCCCAAACAGGTTGCCCCCATCCCCTCCATTGTTCTCTATGGTGGGAAAACATAGTCCAATGTTCTTGAAACTTGGTGGTCTGTGGTCCAATGTTCTTGAAACCTGGTGGGTATCTTGGGTAGAGGCTCCAGCAGCTACCCTGTGAGTTTGGA